GCTACCAAATACTAAGGAAACGTATGTAAACTTCTGACTTTGAAGAAAGTAATAAATAATTATCTCTCTCATTATTCTGTCACTTAGCAAACAGAAATAATTTTGGTAATCCTAACTGACCTAAAACAGGAAAAATTTAGTCTGATTTAATGTCAGACAGTGAAAATTTTTATTTTTTTTTATACAGCATATGTAAACTTCTGGTTTCAACTGTACACACATCAATGTAACTCTTTCCATGTAAAATGATGCAAGTTTAACTAAGAAAAGCCCTAAAAGCAACAGTAGTATTAGCAGATAAATGGTAATATATAACACCATGAGATTTTGATTAATGATGTAATAATTTGTACAGTGTTTCACTGCTGTTAAGAGTGTTAAGGTACGAACATCTGTATTATTTTGTGGAAACACAAAAATTATTCAGAGGGCGTCTCCTGCTACTTTAATACTTTAACTACAACTTCCTACAAAGTACTTTGACTTAAGTGTGATTTTTCATACAGGACTTTTACTTGTATTTTTACATTACAACCCTGTGCAACATTAGGTAAATGTCAAATTACTGTAAATTGTCTTACCTCTCAATATCTGCATTGTTTCTAAGCTGAACAGTGGAGTGTTTCCTCTTAAGAACAATCAAACAAAAAAACTAATACTTTTGAAAGACTATATTGAAATGACAGGCCCCTAAGTAGAATCTTAATGCAGCGAAAGTGAACACATCTGTGATCACTGTAACTAAACTGTGATTTTCAGTCAGCCTAACTGTATTAACACGGCTTAGTTTAAGACTTATGGCTTGTGTCTATCTGTATGTCTGCATCATGGCTCCACATGGTAAAGAATTGCCAGAGGAACTAAAAAATACGATTGTGAGACTTCACAAAGATGGAAAAGGATCCAGGGAGATCAGTGATCAACTACAAATCAGTGAAACACAATGTGAACAGTAATCAGGAGGTACAAAAGGAGCCATAGCAGCACTAATCAGGGCTGCAGCGGTCGTCCTCCTAAAATGACTCCACAGACGGTGAACTACTTTCACCATGTAGCTGTGAAAAACAGACAAAGGCAGCTGCTTCAGACTTGACACAGAGGTTATCAGTGGAAATCAGACATTCTGTGAAGCTCAGACAGTGTAAAGGACAATTTATAACATCAACCTCTAAAGACGGCATTAATGAAAAAAAAACTTGAAAAAACCTGACCAGAGCTACCACAGTGAATCTACAGTCCTGACAGTGAAGCACGGAGGTAAGAGCGTGATGAAATGGAGCTGAATGAGTACTAACGGTGTGGGGGAAATGATATTTATAGATGGATGTCTGTGGATAAACCAAAAGACTGGCTGATAAGAAGACTTCCAGTCTGCAGAATTCAATTTTCAATTCAACTTTATTTGTATAGCGCATATTTACAACAACAAGTCATCTCATAGCGCTTCACAAAGGCAGAGACACAAACACCCAACAATCCAAAACATTTGGATTCCCTATAAGCTTCAGCAGTCCGCAAGCAGTCCGCAACAGTGGGAAGGAACCGAAAACCCCCACAGGGGAAAAAAAACCTCCGACAGAAGCCTGAAGAAAAGGAACATTTAAGCACGATAACCTCTAAAAGCACAAAATCACCCAAGAATTTGTACAGAGGAGCAAAGTGAAAGCTATGTATGCGTCCTGATTTTAATCTAATAGACACTTTAAAAATAGAGCAACACACAGCAAAGAGCTGCTTTAAAAAAAAAAAACAAAAGTTCATCTGTCCATAAATGTGGTATCCTCCAAGTGCAGGAGATTTGAGTCTTTATAAAAAAAAAAAACCCCAAAAAACAAATGTGTACATAATAAGTATTGAAAAATTAAATGAATGTAATGAAAGGTGTCCTGACTTTTGTTGCATTGCATCCCAGCTGTAGGCTCGGGTTTTTAATACAGCACATCGGAATTGTTAGTTTGTAATTTTACAACACAGCAAATACTCTACTGTTCAGCTCAGAAGTAATCTGATTACTTTACAGTGATTCAGTTCATAATCACTTGACAATGGAAGCGATAGTGCGCAGGGCTCCGTCTGGGGTCAATAATTGTGGACTACGTTTACAGGTGTCACAGTGAAAACTTTATTCTGCTACTAAAAACACAAACGATGTGAAGCTAAAAGATGTGTAGCAGCCTTTAACACAATAAGTGGAGCTAAAAGCTAAAAACAACAACAACAACAACGTTGCAGATCAGCCTCAGCTTTAACTGTGGATCAGAAGCTAAACTCACATCACCTCCTGTGAGAAAGAAAAATATGATATAGAATCAGTACATGTAGCTGCAACAGCACGGCTCCTGTTGTTCTAGCTGCAAACAGAACGCTTAAATTAGCTTGAGCTAGCTAAACATAGCAACTTAACCGAGTTTTGTGTAAGCACCAGAACCCCTAACTTCGCTTCGTTAAAAAAAAAAAAAGAAAGAAACGTTTTGTTGTTGTTGTTGTTTTTATCGTCATACATTAAGTAGTAATTGAACACTGATAGAATCCAGTTTAATTAATTTTTGTTTACCTCACCTGACGAGCTGAAATATGTCACAAACCTGCAGCCGTATGTTTGTGCTGCGTCTCCATGGCAACGGCGCCACCGTCGTAACGTGACACTTGCGCTTTTTTTTTTTTTTTGATTCAATTTAATTTAATTTTGTTTTTATTTATTTTTATATAGTTCTTTCATGGAGGAGCTGTGGGTGAAAAATAAAGAGACATTACAGCACTACTTGAGAAAATACGATTTATTTCCTTTTGTCTCCTGCTCGATGTGGCAGAAATTCATGCTTCAGAGGGCTCGCAGGAGTTTTCATCGGAGTATTTTGAAAAATTATATAGGCCGAATTAGCTATCACCAGCTCCTGTGCGCTGTGCAGCTTTAAACGTAGTTACAGATGTCACTTAATTGCTGGAAAAACTGAAACACACGTAAAATCCGGGTTTTTTCCAGGCAGCTTCTGATTTCTTGTGAAGACACTGATTTATATTCCCACTAAACCGTGTTAAAAAGTTATTTTTCTTTTATCTGGACTCTGAGTTTGATTAACTGATTGACTTTCAAATCCAGGGATCTGGTTTCAGACAAATATCCTTCCATCCAGAGAAGCACTGGTTTCTGTGGCATGCAGAGACTCTGTGTGACAAATCCGTCATTCTTATTTTTTATTTGTTTGCCAATCAATCAGATGTTCCTTAATTGAAACTTTACTTTTTTTTCTTTTTTTCTTTTTCTTTTCTTTTTTTTCTTTTTAGCATTTTATATTTATTTTAATTAATTTTAAAATGCAAATCGACCTTACAAGGTTTTTATCTTGTTCTGTCCTTTTAAAAAGCATTTTATATTTATTTTTTAATCTTGTTGTAATCTTATTTTCTGTCTTGCTTTGTTGTGCATATTTTGCCAGTTCAGCACTCTGGTCAGCTCTTAGGCTACTTTTCAGGCCTCTGCTCAAAAATTACATACCCATAATAAAAACAGTTCATCTCTGCAACCACAAGGTCTATTTGAATAATTCTTGTGTCATAATGAAAGGAACACTTGTAAGATATGTGCAGATGTGTAAATTTCAGTATATATGTTACTGGTTAAAAGTAAATGAAGATGGCAAACAGCACAAATGAAATTTTTTCAGGTTTGCCTAAAAAAAGGCACTTTCAGGATAATTATCTCTTTGCAATGATCCTGCTGCAGCTCTAAACCTCTCCCAGATCATAGCACAATATGTGAACATTCTTTCTGCAAAAGTTGACTCTGATAAAGTGAAGCAGAACGAAATTAGAGAGTTTTTAGTCCAGACAGTTCAGGTGAGGTCACATTTTTGCACACTGGTGACCATCTGAGTGTTCTTATGTACAAACTATATATTTCACTGATAGCTCACTAATGGTGTTCAATACATCCAAATACAGCAGCTTTATAGTTTTTTGAAAATTATCAACCAGACCGCTGATCAGACATCTGTGGAGCTCCTGTGATGACAAGGCTGTACCTCCATCATGGATTGGTCGATTTCAGTGATTGACACCGCCTTCGAATCGTTACAGCCAATAGGATATACCGATAGCCACCAAAATGAGATTGACAGCACTTTTAGCCAATCACAATCAGCAGATCGCCATCTTGAAGACGAGCCACTTGCTGTTCCACTTAGCTTCCCTCGGCTGACAAAGCCTCCAAAAGACGCCCGGAATTATTTCAGTGTAACACAGGAAGTAGTAATAACTTATTACGGTGTGGATTTACCGATAAAATAAACTTTTCATGGTAAAACAGCTAAGGTAAGAGAAGTTTTACAACTACAGTTTTATGAAGCGATTTCGGTTTTTGCTGTTCTTTGGGCTACTTCTCGCTGATGCTTTGATTTAGAGATTTTTTATGGAAATGTTTGGAATCTGTGGACTGTCTGCTTTCGTTTGAGGGGTTGTTGGTGCGTTTTGCATGAAGTACAGAAGCGCTAGAGTCAGAAATGTGGCGAGTGGGTTGACTGGGTGACGCTATATCGATTTCCATATTTGATAATTCATGTAGTTGGTGTTTGAGTTGTGGGTAAGTGATGTAAAAATAGCTTATATATTCTTGTAGCCCAGGTTCTGCTGTTTAATTTGATGTGCAACATCACTATATTCTATCATGATGAGTGCATTGTGTGAAACCGGAGAGGCCTCTCTGGATTAAGGGGTTAAAACCTGCAATGTAAATGAAAGAATTCCATTTTGATTTGATTTTGATTGACTCTACGAAATGTTTTGTCAAGAAATTAAAGGAAAACATCAAAAGAAGAGATAAATGATAATATATCCAATATTCCTGAAGTCACAAATAAGTGAGAAAGGTTCATGTGTTTCAGTGATTCCATTATAGAAAACTGAGTGTCCTAGAAATCAGTGGAACTCACTACGGTCTTGATATACATCATCTTTTGTAACAAGTGCATATAAACTTTTGTTCATGACTGCTGAATCTGTTGAGTCCTGATTCAAATGTCTGCAAGGCCATCGTCACTGTGACCTAATTGCGACTTTTTCTTGTTTTACTGTTTATATTAGATATGAATTATTCTGCTGATTCCATGGGCGTACATTCAAACACTTTTGTTTGTTTGCATTCTGTGAATTTATGGACTGGTTTGTTTCCTTCCTGCATCAACTTACGGTGGAAATAGCGTCACTTGTGTCTTTGTTGACCAAAAAGACTACTTTTGTACTTTTACTTAAATTTGAATGCACAGCTTTTACCTAAAACTGAGTATTCCTACTGTTGTACTGCAACTTTCTCAGAGGTTAAATATATGAGCACTTTGTTAGGAACACCTGCTCAGTGTATTGCAGTTCAAAAACAGCAGCTCCTACTTTACTGAATGTTCTGTTTGTTTGTCAGAGAAGTGATAAATCTGCTTTTTGTTCATGTGTGAGGTGGTGGTCGTTGGTTGCGTTGTATTGGCAGATGTTTCTAATATTTTGTCCACCTCATTACCATCTGTTAGTGATGGAAAAGACATTTGCTAGCAGTTTTCAGACTGACCCAACCAGTTGTGTGCCACCTTTATTTAACCTTTTGATTGAAATATATTCATTTAATTTGAGTAAATGAAGCTAAAAATGCACCACAAAGAGGTGGAAAGCTAAACACTCATCTGCACTTCTAATGTATGTTAATTTGTGGACAAAATATTAGGAACACTTGCCAATACAATGCAAACCACCACCCTCACTAATGAACAGAAAGCAGTATTAATACTTTTCTGAGAACAAAATGCTTCATGAAGGCAGAGCGGCTGTTGGTTTGAACTGCATGACACTGAGCAGGTGTTCCCAACAAAGTGCTCAGGGATTCTGTCGTGATGTTCAGGTATTTAGCCTCTGAGAAAGTTGGAGTAAAACAGTAGAAATAGAAAAAGCACAGAAGTATAATCGGACTTTCTGATCATATCTATGGAACATCTCCTCCACTGAAAACATTTTTAAAAAAGCATGTTGTGTTTATTGTAAAAACTGCCACTCATCCTTCGTATTTTCCTTTACATAAATAAAGACATTTTCCCCGTAAACTGATCCAGAGAAGGTACAAATGGGCGCATAAAAATTGTGTTCTGTAGTGGTGCTCATTTATCAAAAAATCTATCTATCGATCTATCTCTGGGGGCCTAATATTTCTGCTGCACCACATTTCCCTGAATTAAAATAATATTTTACATACAAACTGTGAATGAAACGCAGAAGAAAGCAGACCGGAGCAGCTCATCGTGCAGCTGTGCTTCACTTCTTCCTGGTTTCTGATCTGCAGGCCGGGACTCGCTCTTAGGCCAGTCCGACAGGAAAACACCCAAATAAGGCCCGAGGAAGTGATGACGCCGCTGGAAGCTCTCCATGTGACGTAGAGCCGGAGAAAACTGAGCCGGGCTGTGACGTGTCTCCAGGGTTTCCGGCAATGGCGGCTGGCTGCGCTCCGTGTCCTCCGTGTGCCGCCTGCAGCCCGACCGGGACACCGGGCACTGAGCCGTGCTGAGGTCCGGACCGAACCGGACCTTTCACGCTCCAAAAATCGCTGCACAAAGAGAGCGGGGACGCCCCGATTCCCGGTAGGCGCGCTCCCCGCTCTGACCAAATATGGGCTTCCTGCCGGCCATATTTGGGAATGTACGTCACGCAGGAGTCTTTATAAAGGCGGGAATCCTCATTGAGGTCCCGACAGAACTCAAGTTCAAGGTGTGAGTGGCAGCACGTGCACACACCGTCCCTGCAACAAACAAACAGCTGTTGTTGTTGTTGTTTACTTTCCGTAATGACGCAGCAGCCTCATTTCAGAAACAAACACCTGCAAACAGCCGTTTAATCCTCTCGGAGCCGCAACTCTCAACCCTCCAGCATTGGCTTCCTCCGAGCATCACCGGCCCCAGCAGCAGCGGCAGAGTCAGCCCGGCCACAGCGCCTCTCCGCGGGCTTCTGGAGCGGACGCCGGCTCGGTCCCCCTGCAGGGAGAAGAGCTCCAGGAGCGACTGAGCTCCGCAACCGCCGCCGCCTCTGACTCCTTTTCCCCCGCAGAGATGGCAGCGACCAAAGCGGAGCTGCTCCTGTCCGCCCTGCAGATCTCTGACCCGCTGTCCGGCTTCCCGCCGCCGCTCTCCCCGCTGGACGGATACCCGAAGTTGGAGGAGCTGCAGATGCTGCTGCAGAACGCGGCGGCCGGAGGCTCGCTGCTGGCCGCGTCTGCAGCAGAGGGAGCCGGTCTGCTGAGCGGAGAGCCCGGGGAATACGGAGGTGAGCAGCGGGAGGGGAGCGCTGGGTGGTGGTGTGCATGTTATGTGCATATTCATATACAGTTGAAGTGAAACACACAAGTCATTTAATGTAGTGTAGTAGTGAAGTTTGAACCAGACTGAAGTCACGGTCAGAAGGTTTAATGATGTTTCTGCTCAGAAAACGAACAGCTAAATAACGAAAACGTTGAGTAAAATGAAATCATTTAAAGGACCCGTAAGTTTTTTTGCTGTTGTTTTTTTAAATGTGTTTCTATATAGAATGATAAAGTTCAGTTTAAAGCTGTTTTAAGGGGACATTACAGATAATTTCTCAACACTTAGAAAATTAAAATCATAATCTAAATTCAATGCAGTAAACTGCAGCCAACAATCCTCCCACATCTTTTGCTGCACAATAGCAATAATAATTATTATAATTATTATTTTAATTGTAATTATAATAATGACAGCATAATTCATTTTAAACATCTATGCAATCAGACGAACCTGTTCTTAGGGGTTTTTAAATGAGATTTTGATGACTCATTGTGTCCTGTTGTTACATGCACACTGATTTTATTCCTGGTTAATATGGAGGCCTCAGCATGACTTCAACAATAAATTGACAAATATGTAAATAAATGTGGCAACAAAAACTGAAATAAATAAAGATAGAAAAATAACCTGTGAATAAGCTTTAAATAAAACTATGAATGATTAAGGACAGACTAGTCCTTGATACCATATAGAGTCTCAGCCAATCAGATAAGAGCAAACTTCAGGTGTGCTGCGATTGGTCTCTGACCTTCTTGTTCTTCTTTTTCTCTCAGACTCGTTGTCAGACCTCCCCGACCTGCAGAACCTCCCCCCTCTCACGCCTCGCCTCACCCCTCTGGCCTACAGCGGACGCTTTACCTTCGAGCCGTCGGTTTCAGCCTCCAGTGGCAATAACAGTGGGGGTCTGTGGGCGGAGCCTCTGCTCAGCCTATTCACTGGGTTGGTCAGCATGGCGGCTCCATCCCCTGCAGGCTGCAGCCTCTCCTCCTCTTCCTCATCTGTGACATCATCAGTGACATCATCGTCACCTGCCCAGCCGACCCTCAGCTCCGTCCAGATCAGCTGTGGCTCCGCCGACGTCTCCTCCGTCTTCTCTGCAACGCCAACCTACACCTCGGCCGCCGGCTCCGACGCCCTCCCCCTCCCCACCGATTCCCAGCCGGCTCCCCAGGCCTTCCAGCCACAGGGCCCTCCTCCCGCCTACCCCAGCTCCACCTCCAGACTCGGCCTCCAGCCACCCTCCCTGGTTGTGCCGATGCTGCCAGACTACCTGCTGCCGCAGCAGCCACCAGATGGTGAGCTCGGCCTGATCCAGGACCAGAAGCCACCTCAGCCTCCGCTCACACCACTGTCTACCATCAAAGCCTTCTCCTCACAGATCCAGCCTCATGGCCCCGCCTACCAGGTCACCAAGTCTAGTCGACCCAGGAAGTCGCCTGCAGGCCGGCAGTGCAAGACACCACCGCATGAACGGCCGTACGCCTGTCCTGCTGACGGCTGCGACCGCCGCTTCTCTCGCTCCGATGAGCTGACGCGCCATGTGCGAGTGCATACGGGCCAGAAGCCGTTCCAGTGCCGCATCTGCATGCGCAGCTTCAGCCGCAGTGACCACCTGACGACGCACATCCGCACGCACACCGGGGAGAAGCCATTCGCCTGCGCCGAGTGCGGACGCAAGTTCGCTCGCAGCGACGAGCGCAAGAGGCACTCCAAGATCCACCAGCGGCAGCGGGACCGTAAGACGGACCGAGGCTCCTCCTCAGCCGTTGTCTCCACGCCTCCCACCTCCTCCCCCTGCTCCTCCTATTCCTCCCCTGCCCACAGCTCATCTTCCCCTGCCTCACTCTTCTCCTCTTCCCTCAGCGTGCAGACCGCCTCCCCCTGCTTCACCTCCTCCTCGCTGTCGCAGGTCTACACCTCCTCGCCGTCCCCCCACCTCCTCTCCTCCTCCTGCTCCTCCCCGATGGGGAGTCCTCAGACGGAGCTGCCCTCCCCCCACAGCTCCAACATCTGCTGATGGACAGGAGGTCCACCTGACCCACCGCGACCTCTGACCTCAGACTGATATCAAACTGCAGAGTTTTATTTTTGTATTTTATTTCTGTGATGAGGTCAAAGGTCAGCGACTTTCTAACACGTCTGACAGCGACGACACAAACTGAACCGCTGTCAGCTGTCAGAACAGACTTCTATCAGAAAACTGCTGAATTCAGGAGACTCCACAGACTGTTAAGAGTTTCATGTTCGTTTGAATTCTGTTGTGAGTGGACGTCTGTACATAATGTTTACATGTAGAATATTGTACATACATATACAAAGTGTTTTACCTACTGAGTAGGTTCTGGGACGTTTACATGCAGGTCAGTGTTTGATTTTTTACTGAACATGTTTCCTCTTTAAAGCAAAGAGCTTCCAGAATAAAATGTCTAAATCCTGCCAGTGCCTTTATTTCAGACTTTGTAACAGAATGAGCTGATTCCTATTAGCTGATCATATAAACAGCTGATTGTGACATCTTCAAGTGTTGCCTTTCTTGATCACATAATCAAGCCTCAAACAAAATGAAACCTTGCAGCTTAAATCTCAGCTTCTCAGCTGATTAAAAAAAAAAAACTGTCAAACCTGCAGCTTTATTGCTTTTGTAACTGTATTTAGATTAAAGATTTGGGAAAACATGGACAAATAATATCACAGCAGTGAAATAACGAAAATAGTTTTTGTGCGAAAATTAAAGGTCAGAGTTGAAAGGTGCATCCTGCAGATTACAGAGTGACACTTTCAGTGAGCACACACACTCCTTCTGTACTCAGACACTAAACCCTCCTACAAGTGTGTGTGTGTGTGTGCGTGCGTCAAACAGCCAATGGGATCAGGCTTTGTCACCGCCAGCTCGGCCAGCTCCGTGCAGGAAAAACAACACCGCTTCAGTCCAAATATGGTGTTTCCTGCCGCTCAAGCGGACGTCCTGGCAGCCTTATAAGGAGCTTCCTGCTGGCAGGACGCCCAGACGCTGTGTGTGTGTGTGTGTGTGTGTGTGTGTGTGTGTGTGTGTGTGTGTGATGTAACAAGTAGACGGACTGGGACGGCAGGTCAGACCGGAGAGTCTGAGTTAGTGTGTCAAAGTATTTGAGGTGCAAAATACACAAATATTAAACTGTTCATTGATCATGAGTTCATCACTTCTATATGCTTATTATCAGAATTTTCACTGTTATATTTTAACTTTATTGTAAAATACTACCATAATTTTGCACTTTATTTCTTCTGCCAGTTATTATTATTATTATTATTATTTTAAATAACCATGTGTGAGCTAAATATTTTGGGGGGTTCTGAAGGATTATCGGTAGGAATATCAGGAATGTCAGGAGCATCTGCAGGAACATTAGGAGTATTTGCACAAGTGTCAGGAGTATCTATATGATGGCAGTTAGTATTTGCATGATATAGCATTATGAGTAAACAGATCTTTGTGTAATAGGAGTACACATTAAAGCAGTAAACCGTAAAAGCACACGGAATTATCAGTTTCTTGTGGTTTGAGTGAAGTACTCACACTTGTAATTATACTTGAGTACTTCAGTATACACGAGATGTTGTTGATCCGAACCTGGAGTTTAAACTGACTTCTAAAACCAATCAGTCATTCAGCTGAATTAAACTCAAATGAACTGTGTTTATCGGTTGATCAGGTGACGGTTCTGACCAATAGGAGAGCAGCTCACCTCTCACCTGCAGTCTGCTGTACGGACTGATACACAGCCGCAGCACTGAGGGGAGAGGCGGATCAATCCGCGGCGGCAGTTGGCGGAGGATTGATGGATCTATTTCACCATGAGAAGGGACCACTTCTGATCGGACACCGGTGGAGAAGAAGAGGGCGGAGTTTCGTGCAGACACCTGGCGGCTCCACAGGTGAGCGTTCACACACGCGCGAGACGTTTTAGTTCAGTTTCTGTATTAAAATTCGTAAAACTTAGCCAAGACCTGAACGCCCCTGCTGCTTCACAACACCACGGTCACGCTCAGAATAGTCATACCAAACATACTCACCAATTTGACCACGAGCACATACGATGTGTGCATGAGTTTCCGTAGTGTAGTGGTTATCACGTTCGCCTCACACGCGAAAGGTCCCCGGTTCGAAACCGGGCGGAAACAAGATTATTTTTTTGTCGTCTCCTGTTAAATATTTTGTTAAAAAATATTTATCTAATAAATTCACTGCTAGACTACATTTATCCAACCTGTGGCTTTATTGCTACAAAGAATAATTATTAAAAACTGCTCAGAATTAACTTGTCGAACCGACTGTGACGTCATCCAAAACGATGAAACAGCGCCTCCACAATCAGGCTAGTGGCCAGAAATATATTACATCCATATGTGAGGACTGCCATACAGAATGAATAGAGAAAGTAAGGAAGACCTAAGTTCTAAACGTAAATGCCAATTCTCACAACTGTTAAAACACTTTTAATGCAATTTTGTATTATGTTTAGGCAGGTTTGTTTTCTTCTTTGCACCTTATACACTTTTCTAAAAGAGCAACGACCCATTTATTTACTTATTCCAATTTTGAGTACAAAGTGCTTCTGAAGTAAAAGCAATTACAGGATAATATATATATACACTCGTGACTTGATAATCCGACACTAAATGTAAATGTAATATCCGGTGCGGTGGGGGGGACCACCCACTCCAGGGGAGCGCTCCAACGAGGTGGAACTGGCCAGAACACACAGGCAGTACTTGGCTGCTGGTGCCAGTTTAGGACAGCGGACACAGTTCTGTTTTCACCATCAGCGGTGGCGAGGGAGTGGCAGATACTCTCTACCGTTACCATCCATGTTTACTTTTGCAAACACTGAGCACGCTAGCCGAGTGTGACATCGTAGTGTCCGCTTCTGAGCACAAGTCGCATTTAATTGGAAATGTGAACAAACTCGCAAAAAAAATCAAATTTCACAAAAATATCCGAATTGAGCATTTAGTCTTGCAGTCTGAACGTAGCCAATCTGTTGGATTGTTAAGTCAGATAATACGCCGTTATCCTTTTTTGTGACATAAAATGTCATGTCAGAGTCAGAATCCAAGGCTGTCGGTATGTTGAGGCTGTTTTTAATAGGTTCCGTTCGTTTTTCCTAAAAACCTGCCGGATAGCAAGGTTTTCCAATTGTTAAGGGTTGGATTATTGAGTCATGACTGAATATATGAATTACTACAAACTGAAATGTCTACTTACAGTTACTGTCATTATGGCCAGGTTTATTTTTAAAGCTGAAGCTGTGTCACTGCCATAGACTGTACAAGAAAGATGGACATAGCTACTGTGACGTCACCCATTGGTTTCTGCACTGAGAAAATTAAGCCATGTTTATGCGACCATGGGAAAAATGGGAATGCCATGTCAAAGTTTATCTAAAAGGCTATTGGACGTTTTTCTGATTATCGGTAAATTATTTACTGATTGTTGATAAGTTAAATGTTTGCAGGAGCTGAACATTTCTGCAGTTTCCTTGGAGGACACGATTGGTGGTTCGGAGGGCTGTAGGTGGAGGAGGACTGTTATCATTGGGTTGCTGGTCCAACTGTGTGCAGTGCCACGAAACTGTAGTTGGCGCTGCAAAATAATGCATGTTTCCGCCCGGTTTCGAACCGGGGACCTTTCGCGTGTTAGGCGAACGTGATAACCACTACACTACGGAAACCCATAACCTTATACTGCGTCACAGATCTTATAAAAACGTTCTGAGTGATCGTGTTGTTAAATACGGGCATCACCAATAAGGTGACACAAATTACTATCCAGCTACACTAACAACAAGACCCAACCTAAAAAAACCACCTAACACATGGTATGTGCACTATTATGGGTCATTGTGTGGTCAGGAGTGCTGTGCAAGTTTCCGTAGTGTAGTGGTTATCACGTTCGCCTCACACGCGAAAGGTCCCCGGTTCGAAACCGGGCGGAAACACACTTATGTATTTTTTTTTTTCTTTCTTGCATTTTTTTTTCGTTTTGTTTTTTTATTTTATTAAATTTTTTTTGTGTCAAGCTAAAGTAAACAGTAAGCAAATTTACAGTGTACAACACTTTCAGTTTGTCTTAATCGACTGTAATCTTCGTTCCCACTCATGTTCAAAGGTAGCACGGATGTAATACTCTCTCTGACCACAACGTGGGTTTGTGATGCCGGGTGGCGCTGTTCGACGTCCTTATTGTTGAAAATATGCAGAGAGAAGAGCACAGTCCCTGTAATGCTGCAGCAACATTTATTCAAAAAAGCCAGACTACCCTAGCGTTGCTTAAACTCTCAAATAAATCTTGAGTACAACTCTGTGAACGACAGTAAAAGCCGAACGCCTCCAATTTGAATTCAGAGCAGTCCTCGTTAGTATAGTGGTGAGTATCCCCGCCTGTCACGCGGGAGACCGGGGTTCGATTCCCCGACGGGGAGGCTGGAACCTTTTTTTTTTTTCCTCTAACTTTGTCACCCTCACCCTAAATAAAACCGTACAGACACAGAATAGTAGCTGCACATATGTCAAGCATCAGACTTGTTTAAACTGAACCAAACTGTATATATGTGAACGCTGACAGTAAATAGCTGGTGTTTGGATTCAGACCAGGCAGCACAGTTCACAACACACACAAAAAGAGGATATGAATAAGAATTCCCTTAAATCCACTCTGACATCAGTTCAGTAGCTGCCTGAGTCTCTTTATAAGTTTCCTTCACAACCACAGTGCAAACAGGACGGACAATTCTGCATAATTGCAACAATTCTTTAATAATAAACTTAAACAAATATCAGCTTTAAAAACAGCACATGCATGCAGCAGCACGTTAATTACTCCCTCAGCTTGTTCCCTTTCTAAATGTGAACGCTGTGTCTCCCTCTGGTCCAGCTGCAGAGGAACTCTAGTCCAGAGTGTAGATGTTCTCCTGGACGGGTCTCCTCATCCGGATCTCGTAGATGATGTGAGGAGGTTCCTCAGAGGAGAAGCTGGAGGAGGAAAGAAACTTGTCACACTGCAGGTCAGCCGCTCATCAGGATGTTCGCGTGTAGACCTGAAACTATGGGTTCATCGACAGAGAAATGAACCGCAGCTGTTCTCTTAAATGTCACTTTTCGAGTAAAAAAACTTTTTGTTTTCTTTTATGAGATGACGATCTGGTTTAACAGAATCTGTGTTGTAATAGTCAATTAACAAATGTAATTAATTTTTAGAGTCAGAATTGTGTGACTACAGCTTCTTAAATGTGGATATTTTCTGCTTTCTTTCCTCTTGTGTGACAGTAAACTGAATATCTTGAATATCTTTGGATTGCGGACAAAACAGATCGCTGCTTTTGACACCTGATCGATTTTTCTCACCATTTTACAAACAAATCAATTAAATCCAGAAAATAATCGACAGGGAAAATAATCGCTAGCATCAGTTCTAGAATGAACCTTCCTCAAACCAAACACGGTCCAAAAAGTTAGAAATAAAAGAGAATTTAGGAATAAAACGTGATTTTTTTTTTTTTGGCTCTGATTTTGTCGCCTCCAGTAAAATTTTAGGATCAGGATGAATTTCTGTTCGGCAGGTTGTTGTTTCAAGTTCAGTTGGAGGTTTTCCAAAGTGAAGAATCCTGATGAAGATTCTCGAGAAGAAATATTTGACTTCAAGTTCAGTTTTCCTCATATGCAGCGACTAAATTCGAAGTCAGAAACCAGAAAGACGATAGTTTTTAGTGGCAGCGACTAAATGAAAAAACAGTACTGATGCCTGATTTCTTTCCTCCTCATTGACAGTAAACTGAATATCTGACTTGTGGACAAAGCGAGATGTTTGTCATGTTTGGGAAGCACTGATGGACAGTTTTTGACACTTTATAGACCAAACAACAAATCGATGGAGCTCAGAAAATTACTGACAGAATAATCAACAATAAAAATACGCCCTCGTTTGGAAAGGACATCTGAAGATTTTTTTTCAAGCTTGTACATGAAACCATAATAATAA